AGCAGACCGATCTGTAACACAATGGAAACTTAGTTAGTTAGTCAGTCAGTTAGTTAGTTAGTTAGTTAGTTAGTTAGTTAGTTAGTTAGTTAGTTAGTTAGTTAGTTAGTTAGTTAGTTAGTTAGTTAGTTAGTTAGTTAGTTAGTTAGTTAGTTAGTTAGTTAGTTAGTCAGTTAGTTAGTCAGTCAATCAGTCAGTCAGTCAGTCAGTCAGTCAGTTAGTTAGTTAGTTAGTTAGATAGTTAGCTGGTTAGTTAGTTAGTTAGTTAGTTAGTTAATTTAGTTAGTTAGTTAGTTAGTTAGTTAGTTAGTTAGTTAGTTAGTTAGTTAGTTAGTTAGTTAGTTAGTTAGTTAGTTAGTTAGTTAGTTAGTTAGTTAGTTAGTTAGTTAGTTAGTTAGTTAGTTAGTTAGTTAGTTAGTTAGTTAGTTAGTTAGTTAGTTAGTTGGGTTATCAGCATTGCACTCCGGACATGTCCGTAGGTGCTTAAATCCTCCCCTTAGTATGAACCCCAGCGTCTGGTGGCAAATAGTACCAGTTCTATGTTGATTAACTAGTCCTCTGGTGTGCGTCTTGTATTTTGCTATGCCGATCTCAACTCCAAAGTCTATAATTCTGTCGAGAAATGTGGATTCACTGCACCCAAAATCCTTCACCCTTCCCATTTCTGGGAGGACATTAATATTATCAGCATGATCCTTAGGTAGACCGTCGGTAGTGATAGCGGATCCAGCAAGCTTATCAGCTCATTTTTTTCCATCGACACCTGCGTCTCCCGGAACAAAAATAAAGGTGACTCCACGCACAGTGGACTTCTGTAACGATTCAAGCCATTGCTTTCGCACAGAACCTGCCTAAACCCTCCTGATCATACTAACTGAATCACTAAGTACACATACGCGGGTGTAGTTTTGTGTTTCGAGCCACACGAACGCTTGTGTTACGGCCATCACCGCCATCGTCTTGCTGCTGGTTGTCATAGAGAAGTCACCGTTGGCTTCTTTGACTCTTCTGCCCGCTGAGTGTGGAAACTGCTAATCTCTAATACAGTGTTTCCCAAACATTTCTTGGTCGCGGCGCCCTTTCTCAATTACAATTTTCCACGGCGCCTTAACCAAAGTAAAAGTATGACTTGGTTAAATTAATTATGAAGCTTTTACAATATTTCGCGGCGGCCCTGTTAAGAGGTCGCGACTCCCCGGGGCGCCGTGGTGCACAGTTTGTGAATCACTGCTCTAATCTGTTCCTGTTATCGTCGCGTTCTCATAAAATTTCCAGAAAGTAATTGTTCCTCTCCAGGATTGAAGTTTGTAGCATTAACATCTCAACAGGTACAAACCACGTTAAATAGTACAGTTAGATAGTATGGTTATAATGAGCCACTACAAAACGATTAGGGAGTATCATGTGGTCCATTGCGGGCAGGTAGGTAGGTAGGTAAATAGGTAGATAGGTAGGAAGGTATGTAGGTAGGTAAGTAGGTAGGTAGGTAAGTGCTTTGAGAAAAGAAAAATATCGCCACCTTCAACCCGCATTATCGAAGGGGGAGCTTTAGGTTATAATTATGACTAGGTTATGTGCGCCATATAACATGGCTTAGCATTGCACACAATAAGGAACCATGAAAAGGATTCCTGCAGTGCTGATGCGGTCAAAGGAGACAGACCCCAATACTGTCCTGACCGGCGACGAAGTCGTCTACGGACAAGCCAATCTGCGACCCGGTCGCTGATGTGTCCAGTGTGGGTGGATTTCCTAAACTAGCACCCATTTTATGAAGCGTTAGCATTGTAAATGCGCTTCGTAACTCCGAGGTGCCGGATTCGACACCACCCGCGGGCGATTTGACAGCAGACCGCCTTGCGTTGGTTTTGGCTGTGGTATCGAAATCTGACTGTTCAGAAAGCAATGGCCAACTTCTTCTTCTTCTTCCTCTTTTTCTTCTTCTGCTTTTCCAAACCCCAATGGAGCGTAGGCTCTCAACCAACTCACGCCAAGCCGTTCTTTCCTTAGCCATAGCATGCAGCTCTCTCCATGTCCTACCCATCTTTTTAACTTTACTCTCTGGCTACTTTCTCCATATGTTTTGTGGTCTTTATTTAATTGCTATGCCCGTGTCAGTTCCAGTACAATGACATTCTAGTTATATTATTCTCAGGTTTTTCTCACCATGTGTTCTATCCAACTCCAGCGTTTTTTCTTTAACATCTTGGTACACTGGAACTTGTTTAGTCCTCTTCCAAAAGCCCGACACTAGTGATTATATCATACCATTTAATTCCCTGGCAAACCACTGAATGTTACAGCCACAAAATGCTGGGGTTGGTTCTGCAACGTCCTGTAAAGGGACATCCAACTAACTCTAAATGCCAATGCAAGGAAGTGAGACGGAACCGCTGGTCTTGGCAGGTATGTTTTTGTCAGGTGAATATTTTTCATAGATAATACTTGAGAATGATATTCACATGCAGGAAATGTATGTACACACACACACACACACACACACACACATATATATATATATATATATATATATATATATATATATATATATATATATATACATATATATACATACATAATTCTTCACAAAATACACGTACAAACGAATTAATTAATCAACCACAGTATCGCTAGAAGAAAATATTACGCAGTATCATTCTGTCAATATGCGACCGATAAACAAGGGCCTTACCGTTGTCTTTCTACCTGGTGAACGTTAGGTTAGAGCACTGTCCTCTGTCAGTAAAAATTAAAATATGTCTCAAACAGCTGTGATTAATCCTAATATACTGTACTGATTTGGTATTTAATATAAAGCACTACTGTATTTATTTGTTAATATTTACGTGCAAAATGTTCAAATTTCCAGTCTTACCTGACAGCACAATTAAACATCCAAAATGAAAAAAAATAATCACAGAAAGAAAGTATATTCCAATCACAAGAGCGAAGTATGAATGTTGTCACTGGAACCGTCCCCTTTTCTCTCATATCCAAGGTAAACTGTGGGCCCGCGGCAAATGTCTCGTGAGCTGGCGAGTTGTGTACGCAGACATCTGTGACGCAGGATCACGTGATCCACATTAGCAAGTGTTTTCTGAAAGAAGAGAAGAGATACAGAGAGAGGTATATCGTGTATTAATATGTTTGTATGTTGATTTTATTTGAAATACTACTATGTTTTGCCGTGTTTATGGTTTAATCAAGATTTGAATGGGGTTTTGAATCGTGCATTATAGTTTATGAACGGGAATTTTTAAGTACTTGCACAGTCCAGTACTGACTGTATCTTTGAATAAAATACTTGAATGATGAGTAGGGTGATTAGTCAAAATTTATTTTTTGGGCCTTTTGCTTTTAAACCATGATAGTGATAGCTGCTTAGAGGTTAAAAAACAGAGTTCAACGGTACCTCAATGAAGTAGATAGCTCTGGAATAAGAAGACAGACAATGAGAGCAGTGTATTCTATTTTTTTTTGGGTGAGCTGGTCAGTTGGTTTTATGATTTTATCTTTAATGAATGCGGAGTAGAAACATTTCACAAAGGACTGATGGACATTCTGTGAGGTTTCGCTGACACAAGAACAGAGCACTAATGTAATGAGGTGATCTGTTTGCTATGAAATTGGAACTGCTATTTAATATTTGGTTCTCCTTTAAATAACGGTCCCTAGTTGGACGTCAACGGCCGCTTAGTCGGAGTTCACTCCCCTGGCTGCAGTGCAAATACAGAGTGGACAAGTCACGAATAAAAAAACAAAGTGAGGTCAACATGGCTGGTAGACCACGAGCTAGGACTCAACATTAGCAACTGCGTTCTTGCGACGCACGACTTAACCCTACCCCAAACCCAAACCCCAAACCCTACCCCAAACCCCAAACCTCAAACCAAACCCTAAGCCTAACCCTAGGATGACAGGTAACTATCTCATTTGTTTCGTTCCCTCTTTTCCACTCCGTAATTGCACTGCAGCCAGGGGAGTGAACTCCGACTAAGCGGCCGTTGCCTTCCAGCTAGCGACCGTTATTTAAAGGAGAGCCTAATATTTATCTGAAAAAGAAACTTTTTTGAATGTCAAGAAAGCATTAAAAAAAAAGGCTATTCTCCGATTAACGGCCACATATTATGGCGGCCAAAAAACAGGGCCTCAGTCACATGTAAATTGTGGACTTACGGCGACTTACCTGGAAAAAAAAACTGACGGTTTCTTTTTAATGTTTATGATAAGTTATCTTTGGATCTTAGTCTTTTTCAAACATCTATATTATCCTTCTGACTGTTGGAGTGATTTAATTATCAAAGATCTATCCCTATACTGATGATTTATCATAGTCCATATCTGCTAACCATACATGAAATCAAAGTCTTGAATATTTTAGCATATTTTTAACGTGGACATTTACATCCTCCAATGAACATAAAATTGTGACAACAGAGATAAAATGCCTTAGTAGAGCTGCAGGAGTTTCAAGGAAGGACAGAATCAGACAAATGCTAGGAATAAAGCCAGTCTTACAGGTCATCAAAAAATGAAGTGGTTTGGACACCTAACAAGAATGCCCTGGTACTATCTGTCACAGCGAGCTACACTAAAACATTACAACAGGTATAGAGCGAGTGGAAGACCTCGGAAAATATGGAGTGATGGCATTAAGAACAGCCTTACAGAAATGAACATCAGTCTTAATAGTGCTCTTGACAGAGCTCATCAACGAATGTTACATCTCCCTCTGACACCAATGAGGTACAAGGTGGAAGAGAAGAATAAAGAATATTTTAGCCATAAGTATTATTCTGTGAAATCACATGTCCAGTAGTCCTGGATTCATAGCATTTGAAATTAATATACTGTGGTAATTTCCCGCAGGTTGGCAGGACAGAGGCAAGCAAGTGAACTGTTGCAGTTATAGTCTGTTAATTTCTGTTCGACAAGCATCTTACCTAGAATAGCACGGCTGATAGATTGGGACGATTTTTATTACCATCTAACCTACAAATATGTCGAACAGAGAAAATGGTGAATTATATTTTCAGTGTGATTTTTGTTTTTCTATTATGAATTTGAATCATGAGGGCGTAAATAATACATTGCTTAATTTGCTGTGAGGCATATTTTACTGCAAGTGTTAGTTACAAACATGACTTAACATGTAATAACATACACTGTTGATTTTGCCACTTCTTTTACCTTTCTCGTTTTAAATAAACAAGTATTTTGGTCTACTTCAAATTCTCCTTCTTCTTCAGCATTCTCAGGCCATGAGGTTCATTGCTGCAGATATCCACTAATATTTGTCTCTCTGGTTAGCCTTCTCTTTGCATTTGGTGAAACCAAGTGTTTGTGGGTCTGTCTGGATATTAGCTTTCCATTGATTTCGTGGCCTGCCCCATGAGCTACGGCCATTCAACTACCATGTGTGCACAGTTTTTAGCTCTCTGTTATCTGAGATTCACTCAGTATGCCCCAGCCATTTCATTCTGTTGGCCATCATGATGCCAGTGATCAGCTGTGATTTAAACAGATTATTTCAAGTTGAGGATTCCGTTTTTTTTTAAATTTGGTTTTCATTGTCTTGATGTAATTCGTCTAGCACATGCCTAATGAAAAACAACATATCTGGGTCAGTAAACCATACAGTATATTGTGTTACCCCCCCCCCCCCCCCCCCTCCCCAACCCCCCTCCTTTCCTCTTGAATATAACCACTGCTCCCCTAACAAGGGGAGAGTTGCCGTGGTGTAGCAGCTAGATGCTTGCCTGAGAATCTGAAGGACATAGGTTCAAATTTGTATGATGTTAGACTCTTCCCCCCCCAATGACCATGGCTCCCAGTCAACCCAGCCTTGAATAGATACAAGGTAAAAGTCCTGGAAAGTGAAGGTGGCCACTGTGATGTGACCACATCACCAACCAAAAGTGACTGTTGGTCTGTAAAATGTAAGTCTAATCCTATATACCCAGTTTGCCTGGAGGTGTTAAAAACAAGGGTTTACTAGCAAGCAGTTGTAAGAGGTAACGTTTTTTTTGTAATATCCTACCCCCAGATGACGTCACAGGACAGTCCAACATTTTACAGGGTGGTAAGACTGGGTTTCTGGCTTTCTGATACTTTTAATGACCCCAAAACTTCTAGAAATGGCCCTAACCCCAACCCACTTATGTCCCACGAGAAAGTGCAGCCTAGGTCCCACGATTGCATGCAGCCTATCTATCACTCTCTGAAATATTAGACTGTCCCGTGACCTATGGGTTTCCCCTGCTTGGGGTAGGACATTAAGAAAGAACTGAGGTAACTAATTAGAGGTGTTTCCTTTTAAGTCAGTATGCAGGCGAGGCTAGGAATCACCAACAGTCTGCACACATGTAAGCCCGATCTGTGACATGGATATGTACGCAGAACCCAAAATAGAGGACTAAAGTCCAGAAGTGGATGAATAACCAGAACTTTCTGCTGGAATTTACAGCCAGTAAATATGAAGAAGAAGATATACCATATGGAATAAAACCCAGTGCAATTAAGTCTAACCTCTTGCCCTCAAAATTTTGTGGAAATACAAATGTCATCCCAAGCAGAAGCGTGACGATACGACAGTACCTCGGTCACACAGGGAATATTCTAACTTCATCAGCATTTGACATAAATGGACACTGATACAATTACAAACAAGATACATAAAAATCACCTAGCTTTATGAAGGGCTAGTCACATAATCTTTATCTACGCTCTAACTGTAGATGCTCTGCGTTACATTCATGAGTCATCACAGGAACAACATACTGGACAGGTTATCTTTAAAGGTAAGAAAATGACTTCATTGCATTAGGTTTTAACTCAAATGGCTCGGTCTCTCTCTGCTGAATGGCTAGCCACCTGCTGAGAGCGTCATGCAAAGCATCTCCATAAAAAGTCACTAGTCAACTGAAAGATGCAGCTGTGAAATGAACCCGTGACCTTCAAAGCATGAGGCAGACGGCTTGACCGCTTCATCACAGAGATTTCTGGACAGAAACTGGCATTGATAATTTTAAATGTGTTGTTCTTGATTCTGAATTACTATTATACTCCTTATCTAGTTTTCTTTTGTGGTTTATTTTAGACAGTTATATTGCAGCATGCTTACATTTTTACCAAATGCAATCATACAGTTCCTTCCTTTTCAGATCCCAAGCCTGACAGTAATAAAGCTGACACCTTTTCCAGCATATCAGGATCATTTAGTAAGTTTAAAGTTCACATTAACACCAGATTGCCTATTGAATTTAAAGTTTTAGCATACGGTAACCATCTTTGTACTTCTGAACGATAGGTCGCTGGAAACAAATTGTACATGCATGATAGTTTTCCTGTAAATGAGTGTTTTTCAACATTTCTCTGGTGGCACCCCTCCTAGAATATATGACAAGACTAAAACTTTAAAAAACAAAACATGATAAAAATGTTAGTTAAAGTTAGTTGCATATCCTTTACAAGACATTGCAGAACCAATCGCAGCTGGGTTTTTTTAAGGCAAAGTAGTTTGTTGTTGCTTTCTGGACTGTCGGCTTCTTGATACATGGTTGAAACCAACTAAAGGCGCAAGGCCCCCAGCTGGGATCGAACCCAGCACCCCAGCATTAAGAAGTGCGTTCGCAACGCTTAAGCCACAGACACCGACTGATTAAAATAAGAACAGAAAGATACAACCCTAAGCACTGTTAACAAGAACCATGTTATCCTATTAATTAAATTTTTTATAATAAATTTACAAACTGTTCATGAAAACAAAAACTTCCTTTTATTTATTTTTTTATAAATAGATTTTTTAAAATAGTTTATAGTTGAGCTGAATAAAAATATTAGTGTAACAAATTATTAAAATGACAAATGCAGATTCAGAATTGCTTGACGGTTCCACTCCAAGCCAGATTGAAAACCGCTGCAGTACATGAAGATATACATGAAGACTACTAGAGTTCCTCTCTCTCTATCTGTGCATGAAAATGTTCATCTGGACTACTTGATTTTTACAGGTCTGGATCCGAACCCAGACGATGAGGAAGAGAAGCAGAGGTTGATAGCTCAAGTGTTGGAAAGGCAAAACACTCTGGATGGTACTGTCTAACTTGTGTAGTCTTTTGTTTTGTTACACCAGAGCAGGGCTTTCCAAACACTGTGTTGGCTGCCGTGTGAAGGTGTTTAGTGCCGATTTAAAGGTGTTAAACAATTTTTGTATGTGTTCATATGTCTTATAAGGGGGCTGGTTTAATCTCAGGTTTCGGAGCCGCAGTGGTGGGGCTGCTGGACGCTCGCATATTATCCAAAGATTGCTGATTTTAATCTGAATGTAGTCAGACTTTTTTCTTCTTTAGAAATGACCTTGGCTTCCAGAATGCTCCAGCATTAAATGGATACCATATAACATCCTGGAAAGGGAAGGCATCTGATTGGTTTATAAAAAAATAGGTGTATCTGGTAATCTGGTAATCCTAGTTTCAGCTTCATAGCAAACGGGTCACCCCATAGTTGCTCCGCTCCTGTGCCAACAAAAAACACACGTGGCTCACAGTGTCATGCCATGCACTCAACTCAGAAGCTGGGCGACGAAACTATATCCTTTCAGTCTACAAATGGAGCAAAAATGCAACGGGCACCGTCTGGCAAAAGAAAAAAACAACAGTTGCCACGGCTTAAAAAAAAGGGTGGCTGTGCCTAGCGTCCATTTTGACCTGAAGCATTATATGAGGGTTAATAAACGGTCACCCCAGCAGTACCCTCATTATTAGCTTGGGAAGGGACTTAGGACATTACATCCACCAGCAGGCGGCGCCCCTACAACTACCTGCCTGCCTTCGTTAATGACTGTTCACTCAACAGCTATACAGTTCTTTGGCACGAAGGAGACACCTTGAACTTGCTTTGTAGCACTGTATGCCTGAGGGTATGGGAAAGTCCGTAATTTTTTTTTTTTAAATAGATGACCTCTGTTTTGCTGGTAGACTGAATTAATGTGTCGCAGAATTATGTTTATCTTCTTCTTCTTCTTGGCGTTCACCAGCTCTAAACTCTGGCGGAAAGTTCTGGTTGTTCAACCACTTCTGGACTGCAGTCCTGAGTGTTGCGTGTTCATCCATTTTACAGATCTGACTCATTTGTATACAGACTGCTGGTTTCTTTCCTTTCAGGCAGATGCACTCTGGCTTCGAAGGAAGCTTCTAATTAGTCGACTTTTACGACATGTTTTTGGGTTGGCAGTGGGTCTATTCTTGTTTTCCCTATATTAGGTTTCCGGAACTCACAGGGGGATATGTTTATCTAAAAAGTGAGTCACCAACATGAACACTTTGGAAAGCTCTGCACTGGAGGCTTGTGATACACTAGACAATAATGTCTAGCTGGCTGTCAATTCAGGTGGAAAGTTCTGGTTAATCCTTCACTTCTGGACTTTAGTCTGGTTCCAGAACCTGAGTTTTACATGCACATCCGTTTTACTGGCATATCTGTATGCAGACAGTTGGTTCCTCACCTCTCAGCAGATGCCCCCTGACTCTGAAGCCACTTTTTATGACATGCTTGTAAAGGGGGGAGGCAGTGGTCTGTTCTGTGCCCCCCCCCCCCCCCCACACCCCACAATGGGGCTCCAGAACCCACACCGGAAATACAGCTTTGTGTTGCTATAGGTGTTAATGTCTAAGGAATAGAAACTAAAATTCTGAAAGTCAGAAGACTCAACGTCAATGCCCTAGGTTTGATCCCATATGGCTCACTCTCTCTCCATAGAATGGCTAGCAACCGCCTGTGGAAAGCACCACACGGAGCATGAACTCCATCGCTATGTGATCGTCAGAAATCTTCATTAAAAATTGCACCCCGAACAACACATCTGTGAAGTGAACCCATAGCCTTCAGCCCACAAGGCAAACAGCACCACAGAGGCCCTTAACTCATTCATTGCCAGCAACTCATCGTGCATTTGTTGATTTTGTCTGATATGAAGCATGTTTCTTAACTTCTTGTGACCTGTTTAGTTGTTAAATTTACCCACTTGGTCCCCTTATAATCCCCTTGCACCTTAGTGCTGTTATATCAACTCCCCTTCTACCATAGTGCTGTTATATCAACTCCATTGCACCATAATGCTGTTATTTTAACTCCCCTTCTACCATAGTGCTGTTATATCAACTCCCCTTGCACCATAGTGCTGTTATATCAACTCCCATTGTACCATAGTGCTGTTATTTTAACTCCCCTTCTACTATAGTGCTGTTATATCAACTCCCCTTGTACCATAGTGCTGTTATATCAACTCCCATTGTACCATAGTGCTGTTATTTTAACTTGCATTGTACCATAGTGCTGTTATATCAACTCCCCTTGTACCATAGTGCTGTTATATCAACTCCCCTTGTACCATAGTGCTGTTTTATCAACTCCCCTTGTACCATAGTGCTGTTATATCAACTCCCCTTGTACCATAGTGCTGTTATATCAACTCCCCTTGTACCATAGTGCTGTTATATCAACTCCCCTTGTACCATAGTGCTGTTATATCAACTCCCATTGTACCATAGTGCTGTTATATCAACTCCCATTGTACCATAGTGCTGTTATTTTAACTTGCATTGTACCATAGTGCTGTTATATCAACTCCCCCTTGTACCATAGTGCTGTTATATCAACTCCCCTTGTACCATAGTGCTGTTTTATCAACTCCCTCTGTACCATAGTGCTGTTGTATCAACTCCTATTGTACCATAGTGCTGTTATTTTAACTCTCCATGTACCACAGTGCTGTTACTTCTAAATCCCCAGCCCCAAACATTACTTTAACTTCTTAGAAAAGAATGAGTTAAAGTAACACTTGTGTGATACTAAAAGAGTTAAAATTGAAACCCTTTAACCTGCTTTGAACCATAGACCAAGAAGAAGAAAAACCCAGACACACCCTACATGATCTAAGCATTGAGGAGAATTGGCTCATAAACAGCATCTTGTCCCTAAAGCTGGGGTATTTTGGCCATGTTAAACGTTGGAGTAGTTTCCAGAAAAGAGGTCTCTGTGATTTTGGATTCAAGATGTTAAAGATCCATTGGCTGTGAAAGCACACAGGGCCAGAGAAAGTGAGACTTTAAGGCATGCCATGACAAGAGCTGTGGGTGTTTATTGACATCCTACCTCAAACAACGAAAATCCACAGGTCATGGGACAGTCTAATATTTCAGGGGGTGGTAGGTAGGCTGCATGTAGTCGTGGGACCTAGGCTGCATGCATTCATGGGACCTAGCCTGCACTCTCTCGTGGGACGTAGGTGGGTTGGGGTTAGGGCCAGTTATAGATGTTTTGGGGTCATTAAAGGCATCAGAAAGCCAGGAAACCCAGTCTTACCACACTCTAAAATGTTAGACTGTCCTGTGACGTCTTCTGGGGTAAGATATTAATAAAGAACCGAGCTGTGTTCTGCAGAGGACCTGGGTGACTGATGAACCTTCTTTACTAAGATGCAATCATGGATGGTTGGCTTAAAACTGGCTAAGTCATTGCATAGACAATTTTAGTTACAAAATCCAACAAATCTCAAAACAAGTCTTGGCATGAGTTGTTTAAGGTCCTAGGCTCTGTTCATCATCATCATGTAGCAGGTCCTTTGCAGAACGTCGCTCTCATCACAGTCTGCCTGAAAGAAACTCGGTCTCTCACCAGTTCTCATGTGCTTTCCTACCTAAGGAGTCACTTTTATCCTGTGCCCATCTTCTTGTCGGTCAGCCCCTCCCCCACCTTCCTGCTCAAAAGCCCCTATTCTCTTTCTTAAGGACTGAGAGATAGTCCACGACTCACATCCGTATGTAGCCACAGGGAAGATGCATGCTCTCAAAATTCTAATTTTGATCTCCTTGCTGGTGCTTAACCATATAGACTTTTAAGGCTGTTCAATAGGCTCTGTTAGGCGATTAAAAACAGAAGAAGAAATAGAAGTAAAGTTCATTTTTCTTCTTCTTAATGTTCACCAGCTTTAAACTGGCTAAAAGTTCTGTTTGTTCGTCCACTTCTGGACTTCAGTCTTGTTCCAGAATTTGAATTGTATGTAAAAGTAAGGGACCCTTTTCCCACGCATTCAGACGTATTGTGTATATAAGGCTAGACTTATATTATATAGACCAAACAACACTTGGTGGGGTATGTAGTCAGCTACACACTGGCAGCCTTTACTTCCAAGGACTTTACCTGGTACCCACTCAAGGCTGGGTCGACCTGGGAGCCAAAAAAATATCTGTCCCTATCAGGACCTGAATCCACGACCTTCTGATCCGCAGGCAAGCACCTAGCTGCTAGACCATGGCAGATTCCTTGAATTCTATGTGCACATCCATGTTATAGATCTGGTTTATTTGTATGCAGACTTTTGGTTCCTCACCTTTCTGGTAGATGTACTTAGACTTCAGAAGGGACAATTCCTAGTTAGTTGCCTTCTACTTCGTACTTATTAGGAAGGCAGCTGATCTGTCTTCCCCCTCCCATGCCTTTCCGAACCCAGAAACTTCATAAGGAGAGTTGATTTCAACCTGCTGAAGCTCCACCTGTATACACATGCCTGTCTCTCTTCTAGATCTGTCATCTCGTGTGGACTCAGTCAAAGTGGAGAACCTCAAGCTGAAGTCGGAGAACCAGGTACTAGGACAGTACATTGAGAACCTGATGGCTGCCAGTAGTGTCTTCCAGTCAGCCTCGCCGAAATCCAAGAAGAAGTAATCTCTGGGTGCTGAATGAATATCAAATTCTGGGCATATTTTCTTGAAGTCGAGATTCCTCCAGTATTTCAAGTTTCCATGGCCATTACTGAAAGAAGTCTTGATGTTTATTTATATAAATATATATTTGCTATGTGTAAACCTGGTATATTATAGTGCGAAAATCAATTGTTAGAGGTAACAAAAGACATCCCTGTGGTGGCACGCCTGTTCTTATTTCAAATGTGTATCTGTTAGCTTTCCCTCGTGAAGAACTCAACATTTCATGTCTTTATATGTGATACTAAGTTGATACATTGATACGTTTTGTTGTGGGGTCCTATAGTGCCCCAACAATTTCCAAAGAGATTCTCTATCAGTGTATCAAGAGCTTTTTCATAGTCTGTGAATCCGATGTAAAGTTTATCAGTGCTACTTAACATGGGGGGGGGGGGGGGGGGGGGGGTGAGACATGTTTGTAGGAAAATGATATTTGTTTTTGCTTGTTTATTGACTGTTATTATTGGGCAGTGTGCAATATTTAAACTTAGCTAGCACAGCTTTTCTGACTGCTTTCGTCAGTTAATTGAAATGCAATGACTTGTATGCTTATGTAATATATTCTGTATTATTCGCCATTAATATTTTTTGTATGTTAAAATCACCATTGATAACTGGCATCATGAGACCTAATAGACTGAAATGGTTAGGGCATATTGAGGAAAACTGTATACACGAGGGAGATGAATAGTCGTAGACCACGAGGCAGACCAAGAAGATGATGAAGAGATAATGTCCAGACAGACCTGCAAACACTTGGTGTCACCAACTGGAATGACAAGGCCAACCAGAAAGATGAGTGGATGTGGGTTATATCTGCAGCAGTGAACCTCAAGGGCTCGGAATGCTGAAAAGGAAGATTTTTTTATCATTTAAGCTTTGGGGATCTATGGAGTATATTTTGTTTAATGTTTTTTTTTTCAATTCAGTCAACTGTTTTTACTATTTGTGCTGGTTTCTAATAAAATTTTGTTCTAAGTAACATGCATTATTTTCATGTTCGGCTGTGAATCGTTTATATTTATTTATTATGTTCATCATTGTTGTTAATTTCCACTTTGGCATTTATTCTTTGTGGGGAGGAACAGTTTGCAGTCCAATGCTTGATGGGTAGCACTTGCCATTGTCATACGTTGTGGATGTAGAATGTAAACAATCATCAATCTTCATGGGATCCTTCTTGCTTTTTCATCGGATCATTTTTTTAGGTGGTGGTATGAATATGCTCTTTATAATCTGTCTCTTGGCAGTCATACTTACATTTAATAATTTATTTTATATTATGTCTGTTATTTGCTGTCAACTGTGTTTTCAGTAAATTCCATATCTTTGTGAATCTGAAATGGTTGTGTATAGATTTTCTTTATGTTATGTAACATCTTATTATTTCAGTATCAACTAAATTCACTTTTTATATTTTTTGGTCATGCATGAATTTATTGCCTTGTGTCTGGGTTTTTTTTTAAAAAATACCGGGACCAGCAACTTTTTCTTCTGCCTGAAACCATTTGGATATTTTGTAACATCTTTCGCAGGCCATACAAAGTTATTAACATAACAGTTTGGTCCGTCTAAGTTTGGTCAGACATTTAGTGAAGTTTGCCTTGACAGTGCCACAGCAAATGATTTCGCTGGCCTCATATGACTTGCAGGCCAGACCCCCCCCCCCCCCCCCCCCCCACCCCCCCCCCCCCCCCCCCCCCCCCCCCCCCACCCCCCCCCCCCCCCCCCCCCCCCCCCTAAGTTTAGTCAAATACCTAAATATTTCAATGTGAACATTTGTCAGCTGTGTTTCTGTCTGTGAGTGTTGATATGCAAGTTGTGTGAAGAAAGATAAAGCAGTTGAGAAATGTCAGCCTTTGTTTTACCATTATTCAGTTTCATTGGGGGGGGGGGGGGGTGGGGTTTATATTGTGACTTTAAGGTAACACTGTGGTTTTGATATTATCTCTTCTTCCTCGTCTTTATTTCGTATTTTTTACCGCCTCGACTATAGGCACTAAACACTAGTAGATTTTCTGATATCTTTCCATCTTGTTCTTGGTCTGTTTTTTGCTCAAAATCTCTCTGTTACTTGAGTGTATTGCTCAGAATTGTTTTCCTCTTTTGGTGTATTGCTCTCCACCCCCTCCCCCCCCCCCCCCCCCCCCCACCCCCCCCCCCCACCCCCCCCCCCCCCCCCCCCCCTCTTTTAAAATGGGAACCATGAACCCACACGGGGAAACTTATTCAAACATCAGAGTTATCTTCCCCCAATTTTCACACAGACGTCAGAGTTGGCTCCCCTTAACTATCACACAAACTTGGAGATTTCTCCAGTGGGTATCTTGTTTTTTTTTTCAGTGGCAGCTGCCATATCAACCTACAGCCTGTTATCCTTTCTACAGTAAACCTCAAGCAGTAAACAACATAAGCTGCAAAATTCAACAGTTCTTCAAAAGATTTGCCGACAGTTTGCTGTGGGTCTATGCTGCATGTTTGTTTATTCGACAGGTCAACATCATGGCACACGGGTGTAACCCATGAATGCTTCATTCTACTTCTAACTCATGCCTGAGTTTGAAGAATCGCAACACAGTGCACTAACTATGTTACACTGGCGAGGTTCCTGAAATACTTTGAGTAGATTTTAAACTCCAAATTTTGCCCGGGCAGCGCCGTTAGGCTACTCTTTTCGATTTCCAACTGCCAAGGGATATTTTTATGTGCACAACAATACACATGGGCGTCCGATCTCACTACCCAGAGACCAGGGGAAATTACTAGAAGTCCACGTGAAAAAATCCCAGCCTTCATGGGAGCTTGAAGCTGGGACCTCCAGCTCCCGAGGCGGACACCATACCTTGAGACCACTCAGCCCCCTTTCTGCTCCATGTGGAGATAAAAGACAGAACAAGAAGAAAGGAAGAATAGATGTTAACACAAACATATGGAGTTAACAAAGATGACAAGAGAGGCATCATGCCGCACAGGGGGGACAGTCTCTACAATACTGGCCAGGCTTTGTGCTATGGAGAGGAGGAACTTCATCTCTGGCTAAACTAGCTAAGTAAGGTACAAATGAAGAAACAACCTGGCGTACTAATCTCTTATCAACAAAAGAAGAGAATAATCACATCAATAAGAAAGCCACCAAAACTAGCCCAAGACAATTACCATTTTATGGACAGATCAGAGCAAGTTGTTATTCTACGCCTTAGAACAGGACACAATCGACTTCGCAGCTACATGTACACAAAATTTAAAATCGGCGAATCAACTATGTGCACATATGGATTGGCACCTGAGACAACAGATCATGTCCTCCAAGACTGCCCCCAAACACAACACATCAAGGCAAAACTTTTGGCTAAGAGAAACATCGGGGCAAGTCAAACTTTACGGGTCACTGAGTGAATTACAAAAGACATTGAAGTTCATACCAGAGAATCTATTTCAAGTGAATGAAAGAAGATCTCTGGTCTTAATAAGTGTCCCCATGGGCCATGATTTCCATGCCTCCTCTTAGCACAATGAAACACTATCATCTGGAAAGACAGAAAGATGCCAATATGACCTCAGACTTGAGTAGTATACAATGAGGTATTTGAAAATTATTTCGCCCCTGTCGGTAAGCGGATAAAGCAAAGAATTCAGGAGGCTCACGGTGGATTTGTATATGCTCCACCGAAATGGTGATCATCATAAAGTGCCTTGCCAGCTGTGTCACCACAGATCTCGGTCTTTGATGTTCTGGATCAATTCTAGAATAAACATTTCACTAAGGGGACATGATGTTTCATTAACCAACACAGAACAGGCGTTATCAGTCGTTTTACACTTGTGGAGCTTTTCAGGAGGAGATCGGAGCACCTATGGATGTGTCCAGAGAGCTGTGATGATAATCCTCTCTTATCAGTAAGAAGGACAGTCAATTGCAATTGTCACAATGAATGGTACACACAAACAACAGCCAGTTACTGAATGCCCTGCTTCAGACAATAAACAACACATGTCATGTCCTTCAACAACAAAAACACTTGAACCTAATCACCATTTCTCATGACTTTTATTTCATCTTTCTTTAATGACTTTTTAAAAATTGCAGTTTAATCTACACATGAGACTAAATCCTTTGCAAAATGGCACCATACATTTACACTCAAGCTGACCACACATACAACAGCTTCAACAGAAGGCAAAATCTTTCTTTGTAACATCACCCACTCTACGGGATTCATGTTTTTTTTTTGTTTGCTGCCGTCAGGTTGTTTTGTTGTACACCACACAAGATAAATTAAAACAAAAACATGAAAGTCACAAAGATAAGCATAATGATCTGAGAATAAAACTTCATTACAATGCATGTGAAAATTTCAATGAAATTGAAAAAAAAAAAAAAATTAGAGTTATTTCCAACACATCCTCACAGTATCAATGGCAGGTATTTAATTCTTCCAAATCTCCAGTGATCTGATATGATTGTTTCTTCTTTGAGCATCCAAAATGTGCTAGCTTCTACTTGCTACATTTTATCAGCATCACACTAGCAAAATCTGACATGTATACAAGCCTTAAACTCTTTGTCCCAACTGACACATGATTGTCTCTTTCCAGAATGATCCAACAACAAGTGATGAGTATTCCTATTTGCTACATTTGGTCAGTGCATACTGGTGAAATCTGACAATCACAATATCCAGTCTTTTATTTTCCAACAACAGATGTGTTAAGCAGACAGTTAACCCCTTTCACCACTTATTAGCATACCCCCTTTTCACCACTTATCTAACATACCCATCAGTTACAAATGCCCTTAAATGCCACTAAACCAGTGACTTGCTCCCAAGAAGTCTGACAGTAGAGGCTTCGTTTGCGACTGCAGAGTTTGGGAACCCCTGAGAAATTATTATATTTACAGCATTTGGGAGTCACTGTGGCGTTGGTGGCTAGACGCCCATCTGCAGATAGGAAGGTCGTGGG